CCTAGCCACCGGGCCGAGCGGGTATTCTTTTTATAGATGGTATTTATCAATTCACCCACAGGAATTGAATGTGGCACAAGGCCTTTTTAATGTGGGTATGTCTGAGCCCGTAGGCCCAGCCAAAAATAAAACCTATCTAAACCCGTCCAAGCGGGCTAGTTCCGTCAACCTCCGCGAACGAAACCCCACCCTTCGGCGGAGCTTCGTCCGGGTTCCTCTCTGCAAGCAGAGAGTTCGACAGACACCCGACCCGGCAGCTCACAAAGCACAGATACTAGACTTTGATCCTAGCCACCGGGCCGAGCGGGTATTAGCGGAATGCAAATATTTAAGTAAATGCTCTGTTTATAATAAACAGTATTAAACAACATTTACTGGCCTGAATGTCCGAGAAATTTTCACAAAAAAAAAAATTCGTCTTCCGATAGGATTCGAACCTGTATCCTATACGGAACCGTCATTTAGCTTGACGTGCCTTTACCGATTTGGCCACAGAGGAGCGTTCGGTTTGCATGGGCGAATTTACTGTATTTAATTTCTTAAAATAATTGTCGGACTTTGTCCATCTCATAATGTGTGACGTCATTTGTTTACATTTGATACGCCATGAGCAGATATGAATGCACGTGAGAGATTCATGGAAGATTGAAGTTTAAATCTACAATTTTTTCGTAATTACTTACATGTTCTAATTTAACAATGTATACTAAATATTTATTGGTCTACTTTTGTATTAAGCCCTGTTTTAAATTAATGTTTTGAACATTGTAATTTTATTCTCCGTTCTTTTACATTTATATATATATATATATATATATATATATATATATATATATATATATATATATATATATATATATATATATATATATATATATTCATTAATACATGTTTCATTAAATAATATAGACAGGTTTTGTCTATTTCTTTTAAATAAGTTTGTTTCATATTGTCTGATAAGTTTAATAACATTATCATTGAAGGACGAAAGGAAATCACCATATTGATACATGTTTAAATCCAATCTAAGCTTTCGGCTTATATAAGCCATTATCAAAGATGACAATTACTTTTCAATATATCAAACAATACACGGACGAAACAATAATGATCGTCTGTTTTTGTTGCATGAAAAATTTCAAAGTAACGACGTCATGATCCGCGACGCGATTTTCGCTTCCGCGTCTCGTATACATGAGTTGGTGTAATGAATAATGGCTCGGAATTGTTAACCGGGAAGTTGAGTTCCATTTTTCTTGGGGTTCGTTATATTCACTTAAGCACAAAGACCTTTGCGAAAAGTATCAATCCACCTCTTCTCCTCCCAGCTATGGGTTAATTAGTAAGACTTGTATCAGTCAGTCAGTCAGTTATGTGCCATGCGTGATACACGTTTAGGCGATCATGTATCTTTCGATACATGGCTGACGTGGCAGATTCTTTTCCCGCAGTAGGTTGCCATTTTTTCTGCTGTAGACCAGTTGCCATCCAAGGCTATAGAACCCGCTCTGTTCTGCTATTTACCCATAGTTGGGGGAAGGAGAAGAGGATCCAAACCTTTCCCAAGGGTATTAGCACGTAAATGAATGTAATGGATTCGATTGAAGTCGAACTCGGCTCTCCGATTCCTCAATCTGAGCCGTTATCCATTACCGTGTTCCGCTTCTTGTATCTCTAAACCATTATTATCTCAAATTATAATCTGAGAGTCTAAAAATATTTTCTGGCTTTAAATAACCTGCAATAGGTTGATAAGCCGTAGAAAACGAATCATTCTATTAGTCAGTCCATTTCTTTAGGCATATGAGTTAATGATTTTCAATAGTAAAAGTCGATTTCTATACAAAAAAGAAATTCCAGCGTTCGAACAATGTTTAAATTGCCAGCAGGCTCGTTACACAGCCCCACCGAGTGCTCAGTTCTTGGGGCCTTGTCCCAGCCCAAGTTGAAGTCAGTAAGTATCTCAAGCAAGCTGAATTGAGAGCTAAGAATTTCACTTTGCAGACACGACTGGGTATCTCAATACGGTGGTGTTAAGATAACTTATATCAGCTTTATTCATATCTAAACAAGACGCCCAGATACAGACGCTTGTACACGAACAAACAGAAGTATTTAAATATAAACCCTGTGTGTAACATAGAAAAGCGACTTTTGTTCCCAGATTTTTTTTGTCTTTCGAAATTTCACTGAAGACGCCATCTTAGAGAGCAAGAAAACAGACGGTGTTTTAGCGCGAAAAGCAACCGCCATTATGGAGGCGAGGCCGTTGAAAATCACTGGCTGAAATTGGGTCATTATTTTGTTGTTTGCTACGCTTTTAAGGCGGTTCTGGTAACGATGCGGAGGGTGGGTGACTGTTTTTTTTTTTTTTTTTTTTTTTGTAGAGGTTAGTGTTGGGAACGAGAAATCTTACTTTGCATTTTTCTTTCATTTAAATCCCCCCCCCGCCTTCATCTTTTTTATTTTTCGTTTTTCTGTTTTCTTTTGATCATTTTTCTTCTCTTTCAAGTTGTCGTTCTTACGCAAATTTCCCCTTTCTCACCTGAGCCATTCTTTCATGTTTTTTTTTTTTTCCTGATTTTTACTTTGGTTAAAATTTTTAATATTTTTCTTTCTATTTTTCTTTATTTATTTGGTTTATTTTGCTGACTAATTTGCCCCCCCCTTCTCCCCAACCTGTCTTCTTACATTTTCACTTCTTCATTCGGATTCCTTTTCATCAATATCTTTCGTCTATTCCAGAGTTCCATCGACCCCGACCCCAGCACCTTTCATTTTTCGCCTTTTGTTTCTGTTTATTTGGAGTTGATCTTTTTCTTCTTAAATTTGTCCTTTCTCCATCTACTTTTGATGGTTAGAATATTTTATTTTTATCAATTTCTTCTTCTTCTTCTTCTTCTTCTTCTTCTTCTTCTTCTTCTTCGTCATCGTCGTCTTCTTTCTTCCTCGTTTGCTTCTTCTTCTGTGTCATTCTTCTTCCTCTCCATCTTTTTCCCCCGTCTTCTTCTTCTTCTTTGTTTGCTTCTTCTTCTGTCTCATTCTTCTTCTTCATCTCCATCTTTCTTTCTTTCTTTCTTTCTTTCTTTCTTTCTTTCTTGTCTGCTTTTTCTTCTGTCTCATTCTTCTTCTTCTGCATCTCCATCTTTCTTTCTTTCTTTTCTTTCTTTCTTTTCTTTCTTTCTTTCTTTCTTTCTTTCTTTCTTTCTTCTTCTTTATTCCTCGTCTGCTTCTTCTTTTTCTTCTTCTTTATTCCTCGTCTTCTTCTTTATTCCTCGTCTTCTTCTTCTTCTGCTTCTTTCTTCTTTGTTTGCTTCTTCTTCTGTCTCATTCTTCTTCTTCATCTCCATCTTTCTTTCTTTCTTTCTTTCTTTCTTTCTTTCTTTCTTTCTTTCTTCTTTATTCCTCGTCTTCTTCTTCTTCTGTCTTCTTTATTTTCATCTGTCTTCCGCGTCTTCTTCTTCTTTTGTCATCTTTATTTTTCGTCTGCTTTCTTCTGTCTTCTTCGTCTTCTGCTTTTTGTATTTTTCTTTCTTCTGTCCTTTTCCTCTTTTGTCTTCTTTCTTTCTTTCTTTTTTCTTTTTTTTTCTTTCTTTCTTTCTTTCTTTCTTTCAGTCTTCTTCTTCTTCGCTTCATTAGTTATTGTTTTCTATTTCTTTTTCATTTCCGTTCTCTTTTGCTATTTTTCTACTTGCTCACCATTTCCACCCCCCGTTCCCCCTCCTTGTTGCTCTTCTTTCTTTCTTCCTCTCTTTCGCCATTTTCTCGACGTACTCTCATTTCGTTCTTTATCTTTTTCCTTCTTCTTCTTCTTCTTCTTCTTCTTCTTCTTCTTCTTCTTCTTCTTCTTCTTCTTCTTCCTTTCCTCTACTGTTTCCTCCTTATAACACATCATTCTTCTTTCTTTCTTTCTTTCTTTCTTTCTTTCTTTCTTTCTTTCTTTGTCGTCTTCTCTTTTCAAACTCTTTCTGTTTTCGCTGTCCTCCCCCTTCATTCATCTTTTCTCTTTCTTTTTCACATCCTCGTCCCCCTCTCTTTTCCTCCCTATCCGCCGCCGCCTCATTCGTCGTCGTCTCTTTCATTTAATTCTCTTTCTCTTTTTTTGTCTTCATCCCCTCTCTCCATTCTTTAACTTTTCACCTACTCTTTCTTCTTCTTCTTCTTCTTCTTCTTAACCTTTTTCATTCCGAATTTCCTTCTCCATAATTTACTCATTCCTTTAATTTTCACTAATTGATTTCTTTTTAAAGCTTTTTATTTTCTTTCCACCATATCGCCATATTTCTTTTTCGCTTTCATCCTATTCTCTTTTGTAAAACTTCATTTCTATTTAGTATGAAGCCTCAAGCGAATTTCAAAGATGCCTCGCTCGACAAAAATTAGTGAAATCCTACAAAGAGGTCATGGCACAAAATGGAGATTCTTCAATTCGAAGCGTTGCAATTCACAAACTATTTTAGTCTACGTCAAATGGCTTTAGTGGTCGTCTGTCTTCGTCAACGGGCGTGCATGTGTACGGGTCTTTTGTATGTGTACGTTAGGTGGAGTAATGGCGGTTCGATGTGAAGAAGAATAAGTTTGAGTGTGAGATGTTGCAAAAGAAATTTCCGTTTGTTAGAGACAGATGACAAGAGGTAAATAAATAAATGAATATAAACTCAATATACATATATATATATATATATATATATATATATATATATATATATATATATATATATATATATATAGTCTATAGGCACATATCCACGCCCGCACAAATATATATGTATATATATATATATATATATATATATATATATATATATATATATATATATATATACATACATTTTGCAGGCGTGGATATAGTCATAAACACAAACATATGAACAGAATGAGATAGATAGATAGATAGATAGATAGATAGATAGATAGATAGATAGATAGATAGATATGAACAGATGTATATATATATATATATGTATATATATATATATATATATATATATATATATGTATTATATATAGAGATAGGTACATATGAAGACACTGAGAGAGATATGAACAGAGAGAGAGAAAGAGAAGAGAGAGAGAAAGAGAGAGAGAGAGAAAGAGAGAGAGAGAAAGAGAGAGAGAGAGTGACAGACAGACAGATAGATAGGTAGGTAGGTAGATAGATAGAGAGATAGAAGTAAACAGACTGAAATAGATAGATAGATAGATAGATAGATATTAACAGACTGAGACAAATAGATATGAACAGATTTGATCGATATAAACAAAATGCGATAGATATGAACATACTGTGGCATATATATATATATATATATATATTGAAAGATCGATATGAACAGACTGATGAATAGATAAATTGATAGGTAGATAGATACGAACAGACTGAGATAGATAGATATGAACAGACTGGAATAGATAGATTGATAGATATAAGCACACTGTGAGATAGATAGATAGATAGATAGATAGATAGATAGATAGATAGATAGATAGATAGATAGATAGATATGAACTGGTATGGATAGACAGATAGAATTCTCACAGAAAATGGCTGTGGTAAATGGTAAATTCTGTTTATTACAATCTCTGCGAACAATCTTTCATGTCAAAAAACAAGTGAATTTTGAAGATTTCCGCTAACGAGTGCTGGCGCAGTCGAAAGAAAATGCCATACTTTCCAATGACAAGGCCCCATTCGGATTATGAATAAAATAAACACATAAAATCAATTATGAAGTTGGAATATTATCTTCTTTCTCGCCACATTGGCTCACTTTCTTCGGCAAAAAATATGGCGGGGATCAGTTCGGTACGAAAAGATTTGTGATAATTATTTTCGATCGGCATCTTCAAATTCTTTTGGCAGAAGAAACTAATGAATTGCTTTTGTCCTTAGCTTTTATCACTGCTGATAATAAGACAAGGTAGTAAAGGAAAGCGCGAAGAAAGGACTATCGTCTGTAAGAGGAAAGAATGTATGGTGGCCAGCAAGAGGAACGTTGCACAAGATACAAGCTGCGAATTAGAGATGTGAAAATCAAGAAACTAGAAATATTTCAATATCTATGAAATGTTTGAACAAATAGCGATAAATATGATACGGAAATCCGAAGACGTATTGAAACAGCGAACGATGACTTCGGAAAGCTAAGGAAAGTATTAAGAAACAGGAAAAATTTTATAGAAAAATATATGAACAGACGGAGATAGATAGATAGATAGATAGATAGATATGAACTGACTGACATAGATATGAACAGACTGAGATAGATATGAACAGAGAGAGAGATAGGTACATATGAACAGACTGTGATAGATAGATATGAACAGAGATAGATAGATAGATAGATAGATAGATAGATAGATGAATGAATATGAACTGACTGGCATAAATATGAACAGAGTGAGATAGATAGATAGATAGATAGATAGATAGATAGATAGATAGATAGATAGATCTGAACCGACTAGAATAGACAGACAAACAGATAGATAGATAGATAGATAGATAGATAGATAGGAACTGATTGATATAGATATGAACAGACTGAGATAGATATGAACAGAGAGAGAGAGAGAGAGAGAGAGAGAGAGAGAGAGAGAGATGGTCAGAGTGTGATAGATAGATAGATATGAACAGAGTAAGATAGATAGATAGATAGATAGATAGATATGAACTGACTGACATAGATATGAACTGACTGATTTTGATATGAACAGAGGGAGATTGATACATATGAACAGACTGTGATAGATAGATAGATAGATAGATAGATAGATAGATAGATAGATAGATCTGAACAGACTAGAATAGACAGATAGATAGATAGATAAACAGATAGATAGATACGAACAGACTGAGATAGATACGAACAGACTGAGATAGATAGATAGATAGATAGATAGATAGATAGATAGATAGAGGAACAGACTAATATATATATATATATATATATATATATATATATATATATATATATATATATATGAACTGACTGAGATCGATAAAGCACGATTAGTCTTTGAAGAATCAGGTTTCAATCCTATAAAATATACTGTCGAGAAGTAAGAATAAACTTTTTTTTTCTTTTCTATATTACAAATTTATTGTTCAACATCATCTCCATTTATTGCTATACAATCTCGCAGTCTGTGCTTTTTTTTTCGTTTCGTCCATGAAGAACGTTTCTGGTTTACTTTTGAGCCAATTGCGGACAGCAGTTGTTTACTTTGGCGTCGGATACAAAAATGTTCATCTTTCAAAGCATCGAGCAACTTTTTGCAACAACCAGATTTCTCATGGTGCTTTTAATTACTGGAAGAAATTTCATGATTTCTCATAGAGTGCGCCGTTTCCCGAATTCCACTCGAACTTGCGTTGACGTGATGCGAAACAAGATCTCATTCCTGGTTTTATTTCACGGATGTGCTCTTTGAGTTTCACAAAACCTTTCTGAATTCAGACCTTCTCATTGAACCCTTATTTAATTTTCGGTGGGTAGATTGTTCTCGTTCTGGGATATATTTTATCTTATTCTCTTTTTGCTGCTTCTCAGTTATTGTTCGCCCCGTACTAACGCTCTAATCCACTAGGCCATTGTCCCGTTGGACAATCCTGAGTGTAGAGTCTCCAACCCAGGCTACCTGCTGCTGACATGCTTGATCGACGCTTCTCTCTTCTTACTGCTAGTCTTGAAGCTTTGCTGTTACTTCTCTTAAGCTTAGGAAAGATGCCCTTGTAGCTTAGCATATGGGCAGATTCCTTCAGGCGTCTATATCATGATTCAGTTTCCCTTTATACATGATCCGGCATACTTGATTTCATTGTCTCACCTATAATTTTAGTGTTCTTCCAACCTACTTGTAGGAGGCGACTAGTTTTGCCTTTGTAGACTTTGCCACAATAGTAAAGAATTTCTGAGTTGATCCTGGACGCCATTACACAGCCTGTTGCCATTAAGCATTATTGAATACGACTTTATATACTTTTTACAATGATGTGCACTCTATATAAGACCCAAGAATCCCTGAAGGTAGAGGGTTACAGAGACACAGTTTATGCGAATATGTGTTGACGATAACGGTTGACCATAGACTTGAACTTGATTGTAGTTATCGGGGAAGCATCCTCTTGGGAGTCAGTTACACAAAACAGTGGTTCGTAGAAAGAAGCTGTTCTAGTTGAACTTGCATCTCACCAACGGAATATGAAGCTAATGAGGGTAGTTCGCTACACTAGCCGTGAAATTTAGAACTTATGGAACTAAGGAATGTAGAGCGTCTGAACACTTTCCATGGAGATAGCGATAAAATAGTGAGAGGCTAGCGACGCTTCGTCTGTGATAAAAGTGTTGCAGGGTGGAAAATAAATTGTCACCCACAAGGACGCGGAGATAGTTTTAGACTCTCTCGAGTTTTGTTACGTGAGGACTGGGCAGCTCATCATCTGTTTATATTTCTGAGATGAGATATTATAATTATTTACATTATTTACATTGTTCCACATCTTCGTTGTCATATTCACGACGTTTCGGCCGTTGTACGCTCCGGCCTTCTTCAGGAACTGTCTATATTTTTGAGATGAGTTATTGTAATTATTTACATTATTTACATTGTTCGGACTGCTGTCCTTATCTTCGTTGCCATATTCACGACGTTTTGACCGTTGAACGCTCCGCCCTTCTTCAGGATATGTCTATATTTTTGAGATGAGGTATTGCAATTATTTACATTGCTAGGACTGTTGTCCTCATCTTTGTTGCCATATTCACGACATTTCGGCCGTTGTACGTTCCGCACTTCTTCAGGATCTGTCTATATTTCTGAGATGAGTTATTTCATTTAATATTTTCTATTTCACTCAGTTAAGGGATACACGCTTGACTTAGCAGAAATTTTTTTCCCGCGGTAGGTTGTCCTTTCTTTTTTAGTTGCCAGCCAAGGCTAAAGAACCTAGTCTGTCGTGTTTTTCAACCCATATGTGGCGGGTGGATTCATACCTTCCCAGGCACGTTTGTGCGTAAGTGAATGTAATAAACGTTACTAGAATTCGATCACGCCTCCCCGTCTTCACATAATAAGCCGATATATATATATATATATATATATATATATATATATATATATATATATATATATGTTTATACATTTAGGCAGCAATCCTTCTTTCATGCACATTTCATTGAATACGACAGACAAGGTGCTTTTATTTTATTTTATTTTTTATACAATTTCTCATGCAATCTAATAATTTTTTTTCTTTTCAGATGATAAATTATATAAAAACTGTCCGAATGTTCTTTTTATCCGAGCGCTTTCGGCTATACATTTAGCCATTTTCAAGGATTAAATATTTTAACTGATAAATAAGAAATAATTTGTTGCATGTATATTTTAAAATGTTTTCATTTTTCAAAAACACGACCAAGATATTGTGTCTATGTTCATAGTTAATGTTATTAATATTATTTTCAGCCTTTTTTGCATGTAGATGATGCTATTATAATATATATATATATATATATATATATATATATATATATATATATTTATATATATATTTAATCGTAACTTGAGTGACAACACTATAATAGCATCATCTACATGAAAAAAGGCTAAGAATAATGGAAGCCTTATTAATAAAAAAACAAAAACAAAAACTTAATAATATAAAACTATATATATATATATATATATATTAAAATAAATAAACTAAATATATATATATATATATATATTTATTAAATAAACTATATATATATATATATATATATATATATATATATATATATATATATATATATATTATACCACACACATTCACATTCCTTTTTTAATGGAAGTGTAATATTGTTATTTTATCCACGAATGAAACCACGTGACGAGTGGGTGTGCGTCTCTGGGGGCTTCTCCGAACATGGATTCTTCAGTCAGTTACGCCATACGTGATACACGCTGAGGCGATCATGTTTCTTTACATACATGACAGATTTTTTTCCCGCAGTAGGTTGCCATTTCTTTCTACGGTAGACTGGTTGCCAACCAAGGCTAAAGAACCCAGTCTGACTTGCTATTCAAGCCAAGGGTATTTGTGCGTTAAGTGAATCTCACGAACTAAACTGGAATTCGAACTCGGCTCTCTCCGTTACATCCCTTCTTGGTGTTTATATATATGTCCATCACCGGTTTTTCGTACGTGTGGACATTCAAGACGCAACTGAGTCGATCAATTCACGTGTTGGTGTCCGTCACAGGCGTACTGCCAGGCTCTGATCTACCTTTAGCGATCAGGGGATTATTCCTTAGACGAACACGTTGATCCGCCTGGCTATCACTGATTGAAAAGGATATCATCTGAAGTGGCCACATGTAACAGATAGTAACTACACAGATTAACGCCATCATACATTGAATTGATACTTAGAACAGGACTTTATTTGCTATCGAACACGTGTTTACATACGATTCCTTCGCCAGTATTAGCGACGCCGCGTGGTAAAAGAGCTTACTTCGCCAACCGTGAGATTGGATTCCATACAGCGAAAAGGATTCTTTTCTTCAGATGCTTATTTCATGCCATTAAAAATGGTTCTTGGACAAGCCTATTTTCGAATTGATACCAGTTTATGATGAACTGAAACCAAAGCAAAGAGACTCGATAGGAAAAGAGAAAAATTTACCGAAAATTGGTTCCAAACAAAATTCTTTATTTTTTCAATTATATTTTGTTTTTATTCGTTCATTCATTCATTCCTTCTTTCTTTTTTTCTTTTTCAGTTTTTAATTTAAATTTTTTTTTTGTTTCTTCCTTATTTTTTTCCAGTTTCGCTTCTTGCTTTCCTTCTATTTTTTCCGTTTTTGTTTGTTTCTTTCAATTTTTTTGTCTTTCTTCATGATTTCTTTCTAAGTTTTTACCAACTTTCTTTCCTATTTTTCTTCCTTCTTTTCAATTTTTAACTTGAAACTTCTTTCTTTCTTTCTTTTTTCTTTCTTATTTAATTGCTTTTCACGCATTGCTACCTCTTTCTTTATTTCTTTCCTTCCCTTTCTTTCTTTCCCTTTTTTCTTTCCCTTTATTTCGTCTTCTTCCTTTTATTTCATTCCTTTCCCTCTATTCTTTCTTTCTTTCTTTATTTTCTTTCTTTCTTATTTGCATGCTTTTCACGCATTTCTACTGTTTTCTTTCTTTCTTTCTTTCTTTCTTTCTTTCTTTCTTTCTTTCTTATTTGCTTCCTTTTCACGCATTGATACTTCTTTCTTTCTTTCTTTCTTATTTGCTTGCTTTTCACGCATTTATACTGTTTTCTTTCTTTCTTTCTTTCTTTCTTTCTTTCTTTCTTATTTGCTTGCTTTTCACGCATTTCTACTGTTTTCTTTCTTTCTTTCTTTCTTTCTTTCTTATTTGCTTCCTTTTCACGCATTTCTACTGTTTTTTTCCTTTCTTTCTTTCTTTCTTTCTTATTTGCTTCCTTTTCACGCATTTCTACTGTTTTCTTTCTTTCTTTCTTTCTTTCTTTCTTTCTTTCTTTCTTATTTGCTTCCTTTTCACGCATTTCTACTGTTTTCTTTCTTTCTTTCTTTCTTTCTTTCTTTCTTTCTTATTTGCTTCCTTTTCACGCATTTCTACTGTTTTCTTTCTTTCTTTCTTTCTTTCTTTCTTATTTGCTTCCTTTTCAAGCATTTCTACTGTTTTCTTTCTTTCTTTCTTTCTTTCTTTCTTTCTTTCTTTCTTTCTTTCTTATTTGCTTCCTTTTCACGCATTTCTACTGTTTTCTTTCTTTCTTTCTTTCTTTCTTATTGGCTTCCTTTTCACGCATTTCTACTGTTTTCTTTCTTTCTTTCTTTCTTTCTTATTTGCTTCCTTTTCACGCATTTCTACTGTTTTCTTTCTTTCTTTCTTTCTTATTTGCTTGCTTTTCACGCATTTCTACTGTTTTCTTTCTTTCTTTCTTTCTTTCTTTCTTATTTGCTTCCTTTTCACGCATTTCTACTGTTTTCTTTCTTTCTTTCTTTCTTTCTTTCTTATTTGCTTGCTTTTCACGCATTTCTACTATTTTTCTTTTCTTTCTTTCTTTCTTATTTGCTTGCTTTTCGCATTTCTACTGTTTTCTTTCTTTCTTTCTTTCTTTCTTATTTGCTTCCTTTTCACGCATTTCTACTGTTTTCTTTCTTTCTTTCTTTCTTTCTTATTTGCTTGCTTTTCACGCATTTCTACTGTTTTCTTTCTTTCTTTCTTTCTTTCTTATTTGCTTCCTTTTCACGCATTTCTACTGTTTTCTTTCTTTCTTTCTTTCTTTCTTTCTTATTTGCTTGCTTTTCACGCATTTATACTGTTTTCTTTC